ATGTAATGATGACAATTCGATATTCTTTGTCATTGATAATCAAAATAATATAAGATACTTACTATAATTAAAAATAAAAATCAGTAAAATAAATAGCAATTATTAATATTGCATTGTTTACCAACCGTAGCCATATTTGATAGAGTAAAAAGTCTTCAAGTTTCTCATTAGTTGGTCTGTTCTATAGTAACCCCAAATGAATTTAAGAGCAGCCTGAATCTATTTATTGTATTAGAAACAAAAGCAACTTTCACTTAACATTTTTTACCTTGTTTATAAACTCTGGAATAATTTGAACTGTGCGATAATTCCAACACAACTTTTCTTTTACCTCTTATTTAAATTTATTTTTTTTCATAATCTCATTTGGGATAATAACCATTGCTATTATAATTCAATAGTCCATCCAACCGGTTTACTTTATAAATTGACCTAAAATCTTCTTTTGCAAGATATCCAAAATTGGTAGATCGTTCAAAAGCAAATATACTGTATATCTTTTATTCATATTTAATTTTATTGCATTCTTTATTAGATTGTCGATATCTTTATTCCCGCTAGACAATTCATTGTGATATTTGAAACAGTCAGCGCAGTTAACGTTATCTTGACAAAGAGTAAATTTACTATAGTCATGAGTATTACGAATTAACACTCGTCACAGTAGTAATTATCTGATAAACACTCATCACGATAATGAGTCACTTTATATGCTTGAAATGATGGAATTCGTGTGATGTTACAACGTGTATGCATCTCTATTTGGCTTGTTTCAAAAAGTTGAAAAAAGCAATGGCGAGAATACAGAATTATGTTACAATTGTCAGAATGTAAAAACTGTAGGATTTCGAAATCGCATTACATTATTGATTTTACGGTATTATGCGTCATCCAGTCCAGAGCATCTATCCAAAGCTTTTATTTTATACTGCAGTTCACTCAAAAGGCAATTTAATTGATTTTTTGGCAGTAAACTTTAAACAGATCTGTAATTTTTAATTTCACAAAGTTTACTAATTATATTCAAATTTATAGATAAATGAAAAGTATTATTTAGAATAATCATTGGACTAAGAAGTTCATACAAAAATAATTTATTTATTGCGACTTACACTATGTAAACTTTTTTAATTGACGAGAATGATCAACACTGTTAAGAGATTTGGATTAACTATAAAAAATAAAACAGCTTCTAAGAGCTTAAAACTCATCACAAGCAATTTATGGAATAATGAATGGTTTAGCACTGATAATGTGAGAAATGTCATCAGGCAGACGTCCATTGCAAATGTACCAGATGATTATGAATTCATGTTCGTTATTTGCAATAAAGTATACCCCACGCCGTCCATGCCTCACTAAAAACACCCAGAGTTTAAATTTACATTTTGCAATTTGTCAGAGCTGGCTATATATTAACATACAGCGTGTTACAAAAAAACGGTAATGAAAAAAAAATTGTGCCATGCTACAACCAAACATCTGAAAATTATGAAAAATGGCTTGTTTGAAAGGGGAAAACCAATGCTTTTATTATTCATATTAAATCAATAATTAATCCGTTCTCCATTGTGCTCGATAACAAGGTGGCAGCGCCGAGGCATCGACTCGACAAAACTAATTAGAATGCTTTCCGAGATATTCCGTCACTCCTCCACCATAGACTGTTCCAAATCACTAATGCTCTGCGGCATTCTCTTTTCTACATTTCTCTTTACGATGTTCTACAAAATTTTCGATAGGGCTTAAGTCTGGACTGCTAGATGGCCAGTCCAGCATCTCAGGAACATTTTCTTGCAGGAACGCTTTGGCTATTCGGCTGGTATTCTTGGGATCATTGTCCTGCTGGAACCGCCAATGATCTCCAAGCATTCCAATATCTCTGGAATGTGATTCTGGATGATCTCGACGTAAAATTCCGCATTCATGATCCGCCAAAAGCAAAACAGGGTTGTTTTGCCCACAACAGCGAATGCTCCCCACATCATAAGCTTCGTCCGGTCTTTTAACATAGGGCGGACTTGCGGAGCTCCCTTATGCCAGCGCTCCACCGTGTTCCAGAAGAGCTGGAAGGCCGTCTTGTCTGACAATACTGTGGAGTTCCAATGGTCATTAAGGTGCACATGTGCCCATTCCACACGTCTTTGTTTTTGGGCGGTCGTTAACATAGGGGTGGCCTTTGGGAGTAATCAAGGTCGGCCAAGTGCCGCGCAACAGTTACACGGGACACATGGACATCTAACTTGGACAGTTTTGTCATGAGAGATCTTGTGGAAAGCGAAGAATCCCTTCGCACATACTGTCCAAGAGCGCGGAATGCATGCGCAGTAATATTTTTCGGCCGACCATTGCCCCCTGCATGTTTTACTGTCCCAGTTTTCTTCAATTTTCTTAGAATGTGGTGAGGGAGATGTGAGTTTTATATGAATTTCTTTGGCACGCCCTTGTTCCAGAAATGTAATATGATTTGACGTTGGGTTTCTTGCTTAAACTCTGGCATTGCAAAAGCGTTTATTTCAAAAGCGGCTACAATAAAGCTCTACTAAAAATGTCAAGTTGTGACCACGATTGATAGCTTTATTTTCCATTTTACGCGTCACAAAAAGCATGCAAACTGATCGCGCTAGACGCGTTTTAATCACGCGCAGAAAATTACTGTTTTTTTGTAGCACACTGTATTTGATATAGTAACACTCATTAGATTAATTTGGTCATATGTCATATGTAATTTGAGTGTTTAATTTTATTCAATTTCTTTTCCCTGAGCACGTTACTGTAACCAGCTCTGTATTCGAAACAAGTAAAGGGAAATGATGGAAAAATGCTAAGACAAAATTTTATGTGCCCATAAAACTCTAAATGGTGTGTCTGTATCTTTATTGGTACAATAAAAGGAATCACACTTCCATTTGTGTGGTTGTGAGCACCGACGTACATTTATTAAGAGTTGCACCTTTACAGAACCTCGTGTTAGTCGATTCTTGATGTTAAATATTGATTGTTTTATTTTATTGAGATTATGTGTATTTTGATGTGTTAAAAAAAAGAACTCTCTTATTATCTATAGTGATATTGTACTTTGAAAATCGAACTCTCGTTCCTGTCATTTGGTCCGATGTATCGGTGGGCGCTAACAACGAATGTAATACATGTACATGTACACGAACTATCAAAATTGGCTCCTATACATGTATTAGCATTATTGTTTCTTTTACATGTAATGTTATCAGAAATGTCCAATTAGACATATTTAACATGAACAGTACGTATTTCCAATTCCGGTTTAAAAACAATTGGACTTACATGGCAACTCTGTCTCTAATACGTTTATTTAATCAGTAAAAATTATCGATGTCTATAATCATTACTTATTCTATGATTTGCGAATTTTTGTTTAACATACATCTAACTCATCTAACTGCTATTATAAAGATAACAAAGACAACGAATATCCAAATATAATATAAAACAGGTAATGACCAAATATAATATAAAACAGGTATAATAATTGGAAGTGGGGTAAAATTGTCCTGTGGTCCTTTTTTTTCTTTGCACACAAAAAGTGATCTTTTATAATGGTGGTATTTGTTCGAATATAAGAAAAGAATGTGAAAGTCTATAATTATATCTTACGTGCATTTTCATTACGGTTACACGGGGAGAATATAGGAGATAAAAGTACAGGGATGTCTTATTTTTAAGAAGATGGATGGTATCTATAATTATTAACGTTAACGTTAAAGTCGAGGTAATCTTTATTTTAAGTAGTTGTGTAACTTATTTTTAATTCGATGGAAAAATGGTAATAACGAAAAGAAAATATACAAGGTGGATCTATTTATGATGCACTGTGCTAATGTGATACTTTTGCGCATGTTTTAGATTAGAAAATTTATAACTACATGTAACATGTATATACAATAGTGTAGTGGTGAACTAAAATCGTCATCCTTACAATTTAACAAGTTGAAAAACTTCCACATCTTCCATCTCATATTCACCTAATTCAGCTATGTTTTCTTCTACAAAATACAATGGATTTTTATAGCAAATTTTGCCGCGAGGTCTGTTATCGAGATCGAACACAAGTTCTTCATGTCCAAAACCAGGACTTGTGGTCTTATAATTAATCGCGTGAATGCAACCGAACGATCTCCCAATGCGACTAGGAAACACATCGTCAGAACCCTTTGGGTAACCGAATGAAAATATAAAACTCTTTTTTGCATGTTCATCTATCTCAGTGTTGTTGGATTTTACATCTATTGGCCTATAGCCGCCAATAATAATTGGAGATCGAGCAACCTTTGCAAGAACAATTGTATTCCCTTTGTTGTCACATAAAGAATGATACATATCACTGGAAAAACCGTCTTTACTGCCACGATATAATAATTTGAATTCGTATCTTTTGGTGAATCGATGTATAAAGTTGGAATGATTAATGTCATTTGCTTTCGATGTATTCTTCCTGCCATTCAACCAATTCGAGATTTTTAACGCATGTGCATGATTGATGATATTTGAATCTTCAAGGATTACTCGTGTTCTTATTGAAGTTACTGTGGAAATTGCCACCGAGGTCACCGACTCACGATGAGTATGACGTGGTGGTTTTTCCTTAAGGTAATATTGTAATATGGGATCTCCCAACCGATCCGATAAAACTTCTCGTAGAGGTAAGACTTTGTTGTAATAGTCATTTCTTGATAAAAATGAAAATCTTATAAATGGAAGAAAATTAGCAAGTTTCTCCTTCAACACATCGAATACGACCGCCGACCATTTCGTGTAGTTTGATTCGACTGACACCATCTCTGAAATGCATGTGCTCCATCTAATTAAGATGTCCCATTTACACGAGTCATTGACTGACGTATCTGAAAGAAATGATTTAAGAAGTGACAATTGAAGAGAACCAAAGTTTGGAGAATCAAGAAGCCAATTTGGATTCTCATTGATCCAATCTATCATGGGAAGTCGTAGTTTAGCAAGAGATTCGCATCCATAGATTGTCTTTAATAATGTTACAGAATCTTCTCGTAACCAAAGGTGTTTATATTCATATGCATTGTCAATAATCAATTCACAAAAATTGTCTAGCATGAGCTCTTCAGCTGCTAACAATAACTGTAATATACTTTGATCGAAGTTTTCGAAATTAAATTCGTCCTTTAAGATACGTCTAAAAAATAAAATAGATTAGTTCACCGATAAATAAACAGCTGACTTCGAAATGTTCTAATCTCACCTCAAAATAACTTCAAATATATGTGGTGTAATATTCGGTTTCTTAAACAAATAATAACCATTCTCTTTTTCTGCCCATCTCGTTGAAAGTGCTACTCTAAAATAAGGGCAACTTCTAATAAGTGCCTCAGACTCTGTCTTGAATCTCTTTACGTTCAGTCCTTCACCGACATCTATTATAACATCGATTGAAGTACATGATAAATCATACGATATGATTGTTATTCCGTTTTCTGTGGTGGCGGATGGCGACGATAATTCATTTGGATCGGTTTCGCGATTGAACTGTTTCTCGTTAGACTCGTCAGATGTGGCTGAATTTTTTGACCGGTTTGACCGATCTGTTCGAAAACTTGCTAAGCTTTTGTTGCTTCGACTATTTTTTAATCTGGGATTAATTTGGTTTGGGACCGATAGTGACATCGCAGCCATTGTTAATTAAATTTCAAGGAGGGTTATAAGTAAATGAAATTGCTATATATTCAATGATCTTTCCATTAGATAGCCAAGAGGGGTTCACTCATTTATATATGAAATAAAGCGAACTAACCGTTTCATAAGATTCTGCAAAAGCTTTCTTTCTACATGTATAAAGCGATAAGCGAATTCTCGCTATAGATTTTCCGATCGGCCATTGCTCGTTACACATAATGGTCGATTCGGAGTAATGTTTTTCTGTACATGTATACAAGAGCATGTACACGTTTTACATGTATATATATTTCTTTAGCGCCATGCTTTTGATTCTTCTAGCATACCACCAATGTTCATTGCTTTAAAAATTATAAGTAAAGTTATAATTAATATTCGTTAAATTTATAAGTAAGTGTGAAAAGTTCATAGCATACATAATTATAGTATACGTAAAAGAAAGCGCATACATAGGGTTAGATAAGTCAAGACAAACTTTTTTTTCTTTTGTTTCCGTCTTGCCCCTTTTTTTCATTCTAGTAGTATGCAGTTTTATTGATGCCTTTTACCTGTCTGAACTGTAATTCCTTTCTTACGCTAGCATATTGAAACATCAACTCTGGCATGCATATAATGTAATACATATGACAATTAGAAACGATGGAACATGCAATAGTGTTTTTATGTTTTATCCAATTTTATCATGACAAAGAATGTTATTGACGATTGTATTTTCCTTAAACCCTCTAAAGTATTGATGTCGTATTAACAATTATCACATGTGCTTAATGATAAACTGAATCAATTCTTTCGAGAGTTTTCTAAAAATAATTGAAGCATATTTGAGAGAATTCCCAATATGCAGCCAATATAATGACGCTTTTGCACATTTACAAATTATTATGGTTCAATACCCGAAATATGGGTATAGTACGAAACTCATATAATTGACAAAGAAAAAAAATGTTAAACAACATTTAATATCGATATACATGTACATGTAATATTCGTTATTTCCATTTCAGAAAAAAAAGAAATAAAAAATTCAATTTTATCGATCTAGTTGTTGTTTCCATTTTTGTAAAAAGAAATCTATTTTATTTTACTAACGCTAATACGAATTACGTAAAAATCTTTATTCAATTAAGAAAAGAAGAATTTCTTTACCAAAAATGACCTATAATGATAAACATTTTTATTACGGTACAGCATAGTACATGTAATAGCTAACGGAGCGGAGAATGAGATTAGTCATCTTGTTTGAGAATAGTATATGAATTTCAAGACAATAAATAAGTTCACAGAATTTCCAAAAAGTATCGACGATAGAAATTAAATACATTAATATACATTAATAAGATTATTGTCGCAAAATAACCACACCCCTTGATTTTTGCAACAAAAAAATGCATAGTGGCGTAACCAAAAAGTTTCATTGGACAATGGAAATTACATCGCTGATTGGACAGAATCGAATTACGTAATTAATTCTCGGAAAAACATAATTAAACATTATAAAGTTAGGGTTAAGGTTAAACGTTACGTTAAGGTTAGAGTTCGAAATTTAGATTATATGTAAAATTTTCTTCAGAACATTTTTCGGTTTTGTTTTGGTCGAGTTGTTCAAAAATTTATGAATCTTTATTAGTTAGTTCAATATTGCGTAATTAATTTAATCCAATCAGCGATTGATTTTCATTGTCACTAATTTTCGCCCAGTTTCCAATAAGAATACGCGAGTTCTGCCCAGAAACAATAAAAGAAATGTGAAAAATACAGAAAACAGATGCTTAAAATGTCGGGAAGGCAGATTTTATGTACATGTATAACCTTCTTAAGTAGAAATTTTTCGGTTTTCCAAAACTTTGGTCAAACCCGTTAATATGACATCATCGGTTCTGAATATTTATTACACGGCTTGATACATGTATAGCGGAGACTAATTAAAACCTTGATACAATGGAAGGCTCAAAACAGCCATAATAAATCTCGCGATATAACGGATTTACTAATAAACTCACGATATAACGGTTTTTTGAAAATTATTCTCGAACCCATCCGTTATATCGAGAGTTACATGAAATTTAATTAATCGTTTATTATGACAACCTATTGGTCATAATATCGAGGGAAAAAAAGCGTTCATAATTTGGATTTCGCTGTTTGGTCATAATGGGGGGGGGTTTGTGCGAAAGTCCTCTTACATATGTTGGTGAGGAGCATGAAAATCGCGGATTGAAGGTGATTGAGCGGGAGGGAAAAAAAGACTATTAAAATATGTACATGTAGTTAGTAACAAATTTAAGCACATAAGAATAATAAAATTAAAATTTTTATCCGTGACCATGTACTAATATTCTATCAACTAACAGTGTGAAATGGAATTATACAATAATTTTACGCAATCCTTGGTAATTCTTCCAGGTTTAAAGACCGCATAAATAAGATAAGTACATGTACCGTTTTGTTTCAAAAAAGCTGACGTTTTCTTGACTTCAATACTGAATTAATTCCTGTGACATTGATGTGCACTCCTCCTTTAATGCGACCTCATTTTTTGAATCTAAACGTTCTCAATTGGATTCAGGTCTGGCGAATTTGCCAGCAAGTTAATAGTAATGAAACTGTTTTCCGTTTAGGGGAGGGTCAAATTTCTTTGAGAAGGAACAAATCAGGTTCATTGCATGATTAAATTTGATTGGTGTTATTAATTAGAGGGTATGTAGAGTCTAATGTATATGTTGCGCCCAACATCAATCGGGATATGTCCCAAATAAAATCCTAACGAAAATTCATGTTTAAACAATCTCCCAGCACTAACCCATACCTATATTCTAGTTCTGGTCATACCTCTATTCTAATTTAGGCCGATTGTGATTTGGGGCACAACATATAATAAACTCCACTGTTTTTTATCCCTCCCCTTGTTTTTCCCACAATATGGATCAGTGCATCATTGTCTTGCTTGATTTCCAGTTAACTTCTTGATTGCACTCTGAAAGGGATTTTATCCATCAAGAATTAATGGTCCTTTTAATTTTCCCCAAAAACCATTGCTGATTTACTTCCATTATGAAGGTAGACGACAAACAATTAACGTTAAACTTTCCTCCAATATGTCGCCAAACTCTTGATTGCCCTAACTAATTTTCGTTCAATCGTAAGCAAATTTTTTCACGCATTTAATACGAGCATATGCATGTATGTCCTAATATATAGGTTTCTTTGCTGCAATACATGAATGGGAGGAGTTCAGAGTTGTACTATACATTTGCGGCGGTTGATAGACTACAATTAAAATTATTGACAGTTTCGGTGCATTTCGTTGGCTTCACGTATAGGTAAATCTTTTTCGTGGTTGCTAAGAACTGATAATAAAATTTAATTTTTCATATCTTTTTTGTCTGGCAATAAAGCAACGTACTGATGTAAGGTCAAACGCTAAACATTTCACGATTTGAGCAACACTATGTACGCCCTTTTCGTTTAGTTGCACGTAGCGGGTATATCGATTCCTATATTTAGAAAGTTAACCTATAATTAGTATACATGTACATGTATCTAGCCACACGATGCACCATCGGCATATCTAGCGAATGGGTAATGCATGTACAAAGTACACATACATCTAATATTATGTTGCCGGTAGAGCAAGTGCTGGATTATTATCTTCTTGCAATTAGTGGAATAACCACAATAGCATATCAGTTAATTTTCTTTACAATAGCATATTATTTTCAATATGATAAATGTAAGAGTTTGAGATTGTTTTGTATGATGATAAAATATTTATTGCTTATGAAATTTCTATATTTTTAGTCACGGATTTTGCAGGTAATTATTTAATCATTCATTCTTCGAAGTTTTTAGTCAAATGATGCCTTAATTTTTTTTGTTTTCATTTTAGGGGGATCGAACTTTGCGGTTCTTGCGATTGTAACTATTGTTCTTGGCGATGTAATTAAATTGATAATTGGTTTTTAATTTTTTGTTTCTTATTATTTAAACACTAATTGATTAATTATTTATCTACCTATTTAGGAATATTACACTCGACAAGTAGTTGCTACGCTATTTCAAATAACATGGGGATTACGTCTTGGAGGTAAAAATCAACAAATTATTTTTTTATTCGTATATCATAAATAATCAAAGAATTAACATGGTTCTATTAGTATTTTGTTACTATCGTATGCACAAAACAGGTGGATTCGATTCCAGATTTAATAAAATAAGAGAAAAGTTTTTTCCTTTTCTCATATTTTGGATAATGTCAATGTCATGGGTATGGGTTTGTTCATTGCCGTTAACTTTTTTGAATTCTCCTCGCGTGAGTGATCCTTCTATTGGAGGACATGATGTGAATTTCGGTACGGGAAGTGATGTCTTTGGAGTTATTTTCTTCGTGACTGGATTGTTGGTTGAGACTGTCGCTGACTGGTCAAAAGCAAGTTTTGTTCTTTGTCTATACTGTCGAAAAATATATAATGGATTTTTACTAAATGAATAAATATTACTTTATAGTTACAATTTCGGTTACGGCGAAGTTCTCCTTTGGAATTTATTACAACCGGTCTATGGGGATGGAGTCGTCATCCAAATTATTTTGGAGAAATTTTAGTAAGAGAAAATATTTGACTCATTCATCCTTAAAATTTTTTCATAATATGAATTTAATTAAATAAATCACATAATCAAATTAGGTTTGGTAAGTGAATTTTTATTAATCACATTCTAATATCAAACGCTAATTCGGATTTCATCCCAAGCGCTAATTGCTATGTTCACTAAGGTGGGGGATGTTTTTACTCTGTATACAGCCAACTGCTTCAGGAATCGGCACAAATATACCTTGGCTCTCAATATTATCGCCAATATATATAACAAGTAACTATTTATTGGGTTTATTACGATATCATGATACAAAAGACTAGAATTCTTTAACAACACGCACGCTCGCAAATATTTTTTACGTTCCAGTTCTTTTACTCTTCGTCTCGGGTCTACCATTTACAGAAATCCCAACTCAGAAAAAACAATACACATTAGGTTACGAAAACCCGTATTTTGTGTATCGCGAGCAGACGAGCATCTTGATTCCTATACCACCGGTTCTGTATGGGAAATTTCCGGATTGGGTGAAACGAACGATTCTTTTGGATTTCCTACTTTACAAGTATCATCCGAAACAAAAACCCGGTGTTATAACTCCTCAAGGTACTCTGCCTCATGATAATAATAATAATAATCAAGGGAATAATGCTCAGTCAGGGGAGGTGTGATTTTCTTTTGGGAAAAGTTTAGAGAAATAATTTATTTATTGACTAATTTATTTTTATTTTATACCTGTATATTTATTTAACAATCCAAATCTTAGCTAACAAATTTGACTAGTATGGGTTGTTCTCCGATCAAGGAAAACACCTTATACATGTACATTATCGAATTTATTCATTTCAAATATAATTGTACGAATTTGTTTAATTTCTTTAATACTTGTTTACACAAATTAACTGAGCATGCTCGTCAGTGAGTCTAAACAAGAAAAATTGAAGCATCACTTCGCAGTAATGAGATTTTCGCAGTTTAGCTTTTTGCAATTTTGCGGTACACAAATCTCTTTTATTCTAATTAAATCTTACAAAGTGCATGCACATGTACTCACTACATGTGCATGTATATTAATAATAATAAATGCTGTAAAATCTTATCATTATTTCCTTATTAATAAAAGATTAAGGAATAGCGATAGAAAATCATTTCATTAATGCAGCTTATTTAACTTGCATTTACATCTGGCCGAAACCCATTGTTAGTAGAGATCGTGCATGTATAATGTAAATTAGATATTAGCGCTAGCAATTATTACACGAATGATAATAAAATGAATTTGGATCAATTAAATGATGGTTCACGCGCGCGTGAAGTTTTTATGAAGCAAAATGACAAAGTTTTTCAAAGTGTGGAACTGAATTTACTGGAGAGTAAACCAACCAAAGATGATACATTCGGAATCTTCGATCTATATCAAGAAATTCAAATAAGCTTTCCCATGTCATTAACGATAATAATTTAGAATGGAGGACAAAATTTTCTCAATTTGAAAATTTCTGTGTTTATTCTTGAAATATAAAAAGGCAAAATATTTTTGAACCAACCTAGTTAATAAATTCCTCTTATATGACTAAATTTTCAAAAAAATTAGATTTTTAATAAAATGTATGTTTGTTCGAAACCTAGACAATCGTCATTTATCGTGTCAAAGTTAACAACTCTCCCGAATGAGGCAATTGAAGAAATCTTCACATATCTTGATACCAAAGATCTCAAAAGCCTTTCATTGATATGTAAAAAGCTTTTTAGTGTAGTTAGAATTTATCGATTTGGTATTGTCCACCCTATTTGGAAAGATGCCATGGAACATATCGCTGGCGAAGGACCATCATCTTCAATTAATGCCGACGGAGTCCTCATTAAGAATATTTATTATGTTTTAGATCTCTCTACGAATAATCCGAGCTGCTGGCTTCTTTATTTAGGTACATCTCATCTTGCCTGGCGCAACAAATCCATAAAATATAATTCAAAATTCGGTCACTTCGAACCGGTTAAATCCTCTAAAGCTACTGCGATAAGATATATGATATATGTATTTGGTGGAGAAAATTCACAAACTGAAAAAATATCGAACATTCTTTATTCGTTGGATACACGAACAATGAAATTAAGTCGAATTCGCCAATCAGAGAAAACTGTCAAACCTCGATTCATGCATACGTTAAACACAATAGATAGTGATCGAATCGCTATTTTCGGTGGCAGAAGCTCTTTTAATGGTAAAACAAATGTCAACTGTAATCATCATTTGAATAATAGCTTTGTAATTGTTGTTTTATTTTTAATACAGATATACAGTATGACATTAATGACTTTTCTGTATACGATATTATAAAGAATAAATGGACGCATTATACACCCAAATCGGATCTTCCGTATTCAAGATTTTTACATTCCGCTACTGTCTCACTTGATAAACTTTATATCTACGGAGGACGACAAAAAATTCACAACAAAGGAAGCTCCAAAATCCACGATGATGAAGATTTATGGGCATATGATATACGAAAGAATAATTGGACAAAATATTTGAGTCCTTCTTCCGACAATTTTCCATTTGAATTGCCACGAGAATGGATTCCAACCAGTGGACAGAACACCAAGCCCGGCAGAAGATCATCAGCATGTATTTTTCCTTTAGGGAAACGAATTGCTATGATTGGAGGATCTGATTGGAGTGATAAAGAACAAGAAACCCCTTGGGAATATATGAAATTATTTTCACCCGCTCAAAAAAGATGGGAACAAGTTCGAGTTAAAGGAATGCCGAAATTAAAACATTGTATTGTGTTAATATCACAATCAAAAGTTGGTATTAATCGAAGATTAGTAATTGGCCAGAGTTTCGGTGGGAAAGCAGTAATCGGTTGGATATGCGATTAAGTTTACGCAAAATATGATTTTGCAATATTAAATACATGTATTTGCGACTGAAATTCTTATATCTATTACAACTTGAGAGGTGAAAACTGCATGAAATTCATATTCCTACTAGCTTTTTTGAATTATTCTGCAATGTATTCACATTAAATTAGATAAATATGTTACAGTAATGTAAACACAACTTCCTAATAAGTGACTTAAATCCGTTTATAATGCATGTAATTTACATTATTATCGTCCTGTTCACGGGCCTCATTCATCGAACATACAAATCGAGCGATGTTAGCTTCAGTTAGATGTGAAAATATCCTCCTTAATTAAAGTTAAGCCTAATGTTTAAAAAGTTCTGATGCGATTTTAAAAATTATTAACTTGATATATATGAAACTTAAAAAATATTGGATCTTATATTGATCGGTAAACCAAATCTGAATCTCATTAAAGATGAGAAGTTGGACGAAGAGAGTTTACGTATACTTGAATTAATGCAAATATCTTTGATGATTAAGAAGTGGAAGGAGCTATCTGAGATTTAGCATTTTCGATGAAGAACGACGCCACAATTTGTCGACTCGTACACTGATTTTGTATCAGGCGATTTTCAGACATTAATCGACGTAAACTCTGGGTGTTTTTAGTGAGGTATGGACGGCGTGGGCATACTTTATTGCTAATAACGAACATGAATTCATAATCATCTGGAGCATTTGCAATGGACGTCCTGCCTGATGATATTTCTCACATTATCGGTGCTAAACCATTCATTATTCCATAAATTGCTTGTGATGAGTTTTGAGTTCTTAGAAGCTGGTTTATTTCTTATAATTAATCCAATTAAAAATATTTACACTGTGTAAACAGCAATAAATAAATTATTTTTGTATGAATTTCTTAATCCACTGGTTATTCCAAATAATACTTTTCATTATCTACAAATATAATAAACTTTGTGAAATTAAAATTACAGTTCTGTTTAAATTTTGCTGCTGAAAATTAATTAAATTACCTTTTGAGTAAATTGGAGTATCAAATAAAATCTTAGGATAGATGCTCTGGACTGGATGACTCATAATGCCGTAAAATCAATAATGTAACGGGATTTCGAAATCCTATAGTTTTTACATTCTGACAATTATAAAATAGTTCTGTATTCTCGCCAATGCTTTTAACCTTTTGAAACAATCAAAATAGAGATGCATTACATATTAATGACATATCAATATGTACATGTAGCATTTAAGATTTGACAAACATTTACATGTTGACATCACACGAATTCCATCATTTCAAGTATATAAAGTGAGGTCAAATGCTCACTATTGTAATGAATGTTCATCTTGTTAAGCAGATAACTAGTGTTTAGTTCGCAATACTTATGACTGTAGTAAATTTACTCTTTGTCAATATAATGTTAACTCGCTGACTGTTTCAAATATCACAAACGAATTTATATGAATTGTCTAGTGGAGATAAAGATATTGACAATCTAATAAAGAATGCAACAAAATTAAATATGAATAAAAAATATATGGGTCAGTGCAAAAAGATTTGTACCTCAATATAAAATCAATAATTGCTTCTAATAAAGATCATTCAAATTTTAACCAATCTTTATAATTTTTTTATATTAAATAAAAATCATCTAAATTAACTTTTTATACTATTTTAACTATTCTATTATACTTTAATTCAATAATAAATGAAGTATTACTTTACTAAAAAAAAAAAAAAAACTAAAATAAAATTATTTTTTTAAAAAAAAAGATATTTCAAATATTATCACTATCAATTTGTGATATTAGAACTTTAAATTACACAAGCAGATTGTCTTAGATTTGATAAATATAAGTTCTAAATTTCATAAAAATTGAATCAGTAGTCATAAAGATATAAAGATATTAAGGTTCAAATTTGAGTAATTAAATTATTTACTATATAATTTTTATATACATTTAAATAAATCCCAATACCTAATAACTTAATTAACTAAGACAGAATTAAAATTTTATTTTAAAATAATCTATTAATTAATGTTTATCTGAGGTATTTATATATTCAATTAAAATGACATTTCAGATTAATTTAAATCTATCAAATATCTAGGTTCTACAAGTGTTCCAGATGAAGGTAAATTTACATTTGAAAAACAGATTTCGGTATTAGTATACCACAAGGTAAGGAAGATTTGCAAGATATTGTAACGCAGTGTAATATTAATAATCCCAAGTTTGGCACCTAAGTTCAAATTTGCGCACGCCACACATGTTACTGGATATCGATCATTTCCGATTTTATTAACTTGCTTTCACCGAGAAAAGAATTATCATTAAAATTAACCGAATAAAAAATGACCCCTGACTTGTTATTGAGCTCGCACTCAAACAGACTTGATGAATTTTATAAAAATTCCAACTATTGTGATATTTCAATTATTGTTGGTGAAAACCAAGGTGCCCTTCGTACTTTTTCAGCCCACTCGACAATCTTGATGGCGCAGTCGCATTATTTTGCGGTAGCACTTGCTGATGCTTGGGTGAGGCGCGAACCAAATAAAATGATTATCTTTAAGAAACCGAATATCGAACCTCGAGTTTTTGAATTTTTGCTAAGGTAATTTCATGCTAAAAATAAAACAACACTACTAACTAAATGTAAAATTGAAAATTTGGCTGACCGACTGATTTAAATTTAATTAGATATATTTATAGTGGAAAAATCGATTTACAAGATTACGATGTTTTGACACTTTTAGATTTATTAATTGCGGCCGATGAAATGATTCTTGAGGATCTAATTGAATATATTCAAATTTATCTTCTTGAACACCATTCTAAATCTTTGGGAGAGCGTTTTGTCATCGTTAATCAAATCGCATTCGAGCATAATTCTTTTATCAAGCTTCAAAAATTTTGCACGGATATCGCATGTCAAAATCCAGCCGCTATTTTTCAATCAACCGATTTTACCAAGCTACGCGAATCAGCTCTAATTTCTTTACTTAAACGTGACGATCTAAATTTGAATGAAATCGACCTTTGGGAAAAGGTGCTTGAATGGGGGATCTCTCAAGCCGCTGATGCAAGCGAAAATAATTTGGTGATTCCACTGGAAAATTGGACACATAGCGAATTTAAACAACTTAAATCGAATCTCGAAAATTGTTTACCATTGATTCGTTTCTTCCACATCAATTCGGTTGATTTTTATAACAAAGTCATGCCATATGCTGAAATTTTGCCAGGATCACTATATAAGGATTTATTGCATCATTATTTGGTACCAGGAAGCGAAAAACAAAAGGCTACCTTACATCCAGTTCGCAAACTTACGAATGTTGACTCTTTAATTCTTTCGGAGAACCAGATCTCTAAAATAATCAACTGGATTAAAGAACAAGATGACAGTCAAGAAAATAAATCAATCAAATTGAAATTATTACTGCGAGGTAGTCGTGATGGATTTAAGAATACTGACTTTCATCAACTGTGTGATAAAAAAGGTCCAACAATCGTTGCCATTCGTGTAAAAGATGAGGAAAAGATTATTGGTGGTTATAATCCGTTTGAGTGGAATTCACTTAATAAATTGTACACTGTTTCAAATAGCTTTTTATATAAATTTGATTCTGAAGATATTCAAGCTATCAATGGAGTTCTAAGCAAATATAAAAATGGGCACAGTGTGGATTGCTATCCAAATCATGGACCAGCTTTTGGAAGTGGTATTGATTTAATCCTAACCGGTAATGATTTTAATACTTCTAATAGTAATTACTGTACACAATCTTCCTATGAACATGGTTTGTTGAGCTCTAATGGAAAAAAGAATTTTAAAGTTGCGGATTATGAAGTATTTCAAGTAGTATCAAAATAAATTGATATTTTTTTAAAGAAATATAGTTTATTATGACAATTCATAGATTTAACATAACACCTATGACTCATACAAGAAGTATTCTACAAATTTATTGCTTCGATTTTTCTATATTTGTTGGAAGGCTAAGTCCAAAATCAACAGTTTGAGGAAAGTTCAACATTATTTAATATATTTCTAGGATGAAAGTCATGAAGCACAGATTTCTCTTTGTAAAAGTTTATAATATCCCTTAAATAATTTTTGATCCCAAGTCAATTTTCGTATATATATATGTAGTTTAGAATTACAGAGATCACCATATCTGTAACTGGGGGTTTTTAGTTATTCCATAACGATAATAACTCCAACTGTTGCATTTAAGAGCAATCCACAAAAAATGAAATCAACTCTTAACTAGATTTTCTAGTTTAAAACATTTTTTTTATAGTAACAGCGATATCATTATTCTTAAAGTATAAATAATTGATTTCCTTAATACATGTACATGTAATAGCGATAAATGAAAATAATGCACAATAGAGGCCATTCTATCGCAATCAAAGGAGAAAAGATATTATTTACATTTAATATTCTTTTCTTTAATAGAAGGCGATTTAAATGTATCCGTTATCAAAATACATGTTAAAAAACAATTCAAAGTTGCATAACAACAACGATCAATAGTTGCTATCGCTATAATTTCAAACAATTCGCATTTTATATTGTATAAATGTTCCGAATGTCAAAAAAATATTGACTGCTCCGGAGGTTTTAACAAATTTATAGCAGAATGGTCTAAAGGAGATAAAGACAGCAATCTAATAAAAGTGAATTATTTGAATGGATTCATTTTGCAAAGGACAATTTATTTAAACGAGATGGCAACGTGAGGTTATATTGAAATGATTGCACAATTAAAAGAAAATTACTCCAGAGTTAAAAACGAGGTAATGAAACTTTTTCTAAAGTGAAAGTTGTATTATACTGAATGTGCAGTCTAAAAACTCGTTAATGTCAACTTTATCGATATCAACACCCCCCTGGTTATTAGCAACATAAGTTATAGGTCGGATTTTTTAATATCGATATAAAAATTTCCTCGATAATTTTAGGATTTTTTTATAAAAACCAATCAGTTATTTGCATTTTGCGTATATATAAAAGATATAATCGTTATGAATAATACAACAGGTATCCGAAAACAATGGTGATTACAATAATTTTTTTGAGATATCAATATCGAGTTAACCATTTGCATAACGATAATACATGTATACATGTACCCGTTATCGTTATTCTTTTTGATGATCATTAGAATAAATTTGATCAGAAACTAAAAAAATGTCTAACAAAAAAAGAAGAAATATCCGTAAAAAATTATATAATGATAGCGATGACGGTGATGAAAAACAAGAGACCATTGTACTTGACCAAACGCATGAAAAATCTCGAGACAAGAATATTAATGATTCGGTTGTAATGACACCTCCTCCGAGATTAAGTTTTATTGATGAAATTGATGATGAAGTTGTTTGTATTATTACGATTCGATTTGAAAATTTGAAAATCTGAAATTTTATATAAATTGAATAATAATTCTTCTATTTATAGATTATGTCCCCCTCGATAAAAGCAAATCCAGCTGTTAAAAACATCAATCAAAATGCTAATACGCAAATATCGAAAACTGAGGAAACGAATCTTGAAGAAATAAAAAGTAAAAATCAAGCAATACAATCTTCTTCAACGAAGACGAAGGATCTTAAGATAGACAAAGGTTTCAGAAATGATGTTTATATGAAAGAAACTATCGAGAAAGGACGAGGCATTTTTGCAACTAAAAATATAAAATTAGGCAAGTTTTTTTTGTTTATTTATTGCTTTATGAAATATTTATAATATTTTCGAAATATCTAATTAGGCGAACTGATTTTGGAAGAAGAACCGTATGCAGCAGTAGTAGATGACAATAATCTTGACAAATTTTGTAGTGGATGTTTCGCAAAACCGACAAGATTATTACGTTGCTCAGCTTGTAACTTGCTTCATTATTGTTCAGAGGTTGTACTTCTTATTGCATATAATATTTTAATACATACTCAAACTTAATTTTTTATTGTTTTAGAGATGTCAGCGAAGTGATTGGAAACAACACAAAGAAGAATGCAAAACTTTTGTCAGACTACAACGTAAACCACCAGCATCTATTCGTGTTTTCTGTCGCATCTTAAAAAGACGATCAGTCGATAAAGATTCGGTAATGTGTAAAATCAAATTTATATTTCTTTTGGTTTCATTCTAATAGAGTTAATCAATTTAAAAAGTTTGCGGCAATAAAGAACTTGAATACAAGTAAGCTGAGTAAACCTTTTAAGGGATTCTTTAGCTATTTTTCTCATTTAACACATATATTTTTCAATCAGATCGTACAAAATTTAAACAAGAAGAAATAGAAACATTCGCCCAATTATCAATTCTTGTAAAAGAATGCATAGAACCATTGGCAGCTGGTGAAATGATTGAACTCTTTTGTCGGGTAAGTGATAAAACTTTATCATTGGATCATAAGATCTTTAGTAATTTCGATTATTTCACTACGCAGTTAACTTGTAATAGCTTTTCGGTGTTAGATGAAGAGATGATTGGTATTGGCGTTGGAATATACACAAATGCAGCATTAATAAATCACTCGTGTGTGCCAAACTGTCTAGCAACTTTCGATGGATCAAAATTAATGGTGAGAAATATCCAGCCTATTCAAAAGGACGAAGAGGTATAAATAACAAACATATCGATATAATTGTTCAATTAGCTTGAATCTTGATATATATATATATATATATATATATATATATATGTATTATATTTAGATAACTATTGCCTATACTGATCTTGGAATACCCACAATGGAACGACGCCGAGAACTGAACGAAAGATACTTCTTCTTATGTCAATGTGAACTGTGCAAACAATATGAGGTTTGTTATTTTTTTAATCTCTGAAGACGTATTACATGTAATGGTATATATAGCATTTTAATTTATTGGTATTATAAGAGCAAGGAAAATGTTGACCCACGGAGTGCTTTGCGATGCAAAACACGGGGGTGTACAAATCCTATTGAGCCCCCAGGTACATAAAAATAATTAAAATTCAAAAATTGTTTTTTTAATTGATTGACTTTCCCTTCTTTGAAAGATCCGCTTGAAATGCAAGAAGAAATCATAGTGGAATGTTCGATTTGCAAGCAAATCATCACTTACGATACAGCTGATGTTGAGAATCAAATTAAAGAATCAATAGAACTTTACGAGAAAGGCATGAAGTTACTTGTTCAAGGTAACAAAAGTTTATACTGTTTACAGAGAAAGAAACTTACTTAAAATAATTATCTGTAGATGTTGATGAAGAAAAGGCAATTTCACAACTCGAACGATCTTTTGAACTACAAAAAAATTTACTACACATCTCAAATCAAAACCTGATAAGGACACAAAAATCACTTATTGAATTGTACAGTAAACAAAGAAACTGGCCCATGGCATTATCTCATTCTCAGCTACTGATCGATGCTTATCGTTTCTTATTCACCGAATGGCATCCGTTAATTGGGATTCAATTGCTTGTCACTGGTCGTCTTTTGCTTTGTATGCATCAGGATGATGAAGGAGTGCGAAATTTGAGAGATTCTCTAAGAATTTTGGAAGTCTCACATGGATATCAACATAGTCTCACAAAATCTGTCGCGGATATTTTGAAACAAATGGAAAGGGATATTTCTATTCGTCAGGGAAAATTCGATTAATTGTTTTTTTTAATGTGAAAAGAAATGACTACACTTATTTTTAGATACAAGCAAATAAATAAATTAAATAAAAATTTACAATGTCCATCAAGTATTATCGTTATATTAAAGTTATCCTAAATTACATAGTTCATTAAATAAGCAATAACCATCCGGCGATTTCAAATATTCACCAATTTTATCGGCAAGAAGACGATGAGCACTTGCAGTCGGATGAAGTCTATCCCAAAACAAATACGTGTCTGCCTGTTCACAATGCTCTACTGTGACGTTATTATTAGTGGTAAAAGTATCATTAATACCGCTATTATTTGTGAAAATTCCATCATAATAATTCAAACAAGGATCTTTGACATTCTTAAATTGATATTTTTCAGGATCATTTAAGATTTCATTGGTCAAGTTGTATAAATCAAAAACGCGAGCAGTAACTCGATAATTTAATGAAAAGTTTTTCACCATCACATCAAGTTGAGCATTGTGAGCTTCGACTAGATTCTTTAGTTGATCTTGTTGGTCAGCTGTGAAGTGTGTTTGAATTAATGGTGCGATTTCGAGTGGTGGCAGATTGTAGATTAGAAATTTCCGTGCGCCGACCGATGTAGTCAGACGTGTTAAAGATTCTCCCATTGAAGCTATTATGGTTTCAGGTTTTGTTGTCATGTTTTTCTCTACAATAATCTTTGTTATTTTAATAATTGGACATCAGATAGATAAGCGAAAAATTGTATAATTTTTTTTTTGTTTTTAATTCTTACTCGATAATCGTTTCCACCAATCCAAATCATGTAAGTTGTTAGGTATTTATCAGGTTGTGTGGCATTTTGAATGAAATAATCGACTACGTAAATCAAACAAAAATAAGTAACTAAAATAAATATAAAGATTCTAAAAAAAAATATCTAAGCAATGCAGTTCATAAATTACTTTGTGTTTTAACAGACGACCATATTGCATATTTCTGTTTTAAAGTCGAGTTACTTTCATTTTCATTATCCACGATATTATTATCAGCTGTTGCACCGCCAAATGCCATATCTCTTAGATCGACATTCAAAGATTCCGCAAGATATTCCACCCAAGTTTTGTTATTTGTCCATCGTCCTTATGTTCAATAAGCACACTTTATTTTATCACAATTACTCTCAAGAAAGAAACGGAATCTAAAATGAGTTAATACGTACCTTCAGGGTATAGATTAGGCGGTGGTATAGTACCATTGGTCATTCTAAACTGATTCCCATTGTCGGATAACGAGTCACCAAACACAACAATTGTATATGAGAAAAAATATCCGCGGGAGAACAAATTAATCGACCAGATTAATGCAGCTATAAAAAATAACATGATAAATATTGCGACCAACGATCGCACAAAAATTGGTGCTTCGACCATTTTGCATAGTATTCTTTTTTGTGCTAATTTTTTTTTATTACATGTAATTGATGAATTCGTTCCCTTTTTGTTTCTCTTGTTTTATGACGCAAATCACACCTTATATAAGCTTACATGTAACGACAACGTTACTTTTTTATCCCCTTTTTGAGCATATTTGGAGCACAAAAGCATGCCATGCACAATACCCCAATACCCGATATCCGCCGCTGTGACGATATCGATATCGATATAGAACATAAACAAATCGCTAACGATTCGAAAATTAAATGATTTTGGTAATCAAAGTTACTTTGTGATATTTTTATCATTCCAAATGTCTGGTTAAAATTTCGCTTATTTGAAGTCAGGATTCGATGTACATGATTGACTTCTTAATATTGACTAAATGAATTTTTTTTTTCCTTTAACTATGTCGTTGTTATAGATGAAACGTTAACTAATTTAAGTACGATCCACTTTTGACTTTTCCCGTGTGTTATCTCCCACATAAAATCACGATCTCTATTGATGTAAAGAGAAAAGAAATGATAATACAAGCTAAGAAATTTGAATGAAAATTTCTATCTTCATTATGATAAATGCATTTCATAAAGAGTCAGGAACTTCCCTCTTCGGGGTTTTCGGATAATTGATACATGTATATTACTGTATTACATATACATGTAATTACAAAAGAACAAATAATGAACGCTTTATTCGTGAATATGTATTAAAGAACGTTAACCAATTGACATGGAAAAAAGTTACATGTAATCGAATATTTATTTGTACATGTATAACGTCATCAGCATTTCACTAATCTTCATGTATATAACGATAACGACAACATGTTATGCATTATCGTTATGTTAGGAGATGGGGGGGGGGGGAGGTTTTAATCACACTCCCTGTCAAAATAAAAAAAGATGGTTTTCCCGATAAATAGAATTCTCCGAAAAAAGATTCTAGCCTATCCTTTCACTTATTATCATGAGATTGCTATCACCTGAAAAATTATATTTTCATAATTTAGAATTTGGTCGTATCGACACAGTTATTAAAGTTGGCGCGTCATTATCGCAAGAACAAATCTTTCGTGCACAATTCGTCGTCTTAAAAAAATGTGATTATTTTCGTGCGGCGTTTGCTAACAGTTGGGCAAAGAAAAAAGATGATTTATTTGTATTCGAAAAACCAAATATTACTCCAGAAATTTTTTATATAGTTTTGTGGTAAGCAATTGATTTCCCAATATTAAATAAAATACATAATTAAATTTCACTGATATATATGTTATTTTTTTCACATAGTCATATCTACGAAAAAGAAATAAAGTTGGAAGAGCTACACGACGTAGAACGAGTCATGGATGTGGTGGTTGCTGCTGATGAACTAATGTTACCAGAACTTGCCAATTATGCTCAATCCTTCTTACTCTCTGGTTATAAAAAATGGGTGAATCGTAATCTCGTCAAAGTTTTAAATATCACTTTTGTCCACCCACATATCTTCGAAGAATTGGCTCGCCGAATTATTCACAAAATGAATCGAGGTTCAATTTCTTTATTGCGTACAGCTTTTCTACACAAATTGGAACAACAAACATTGATCGCAGTGCTCGAGAGAGAAGGAATACCGAATGCCGGATTAGCCTGGGATGTAATATTTCGGTGGGCGTTTTCGCAAGTAGTTCATTTCGAGAAACAAAAATACGAATCCGAGCGAACATCGACGTCAAATTCAATATCGAAATTGCCGCCTGCATTTATAGGATCGTTAAGAGATAAAATTGCTCAATTAATTAAACATATAAGATTCTCACAAATGTCGCATAACGACTTTGTCGAAAAAGTATTTAAAGTTCGTGAATTGCTGACAAAAGAAATGGTCAATTCTATTGAAGGCCTTCAATATTATCTGACTCTTGCAGAGAATTCGACGATTCTCACTGATTCTGTTCTCATTAATAATCTTCACGTTGATATTATCATTAATTGGATTGTATTTTATAGACAAGGACAGAAATTGTATATTCAGAATGTAGAAGCATCAAATCAATCATCTCAGATTAACAAAACCTCAATCTTTAAGCGACTTTATCGAACTTTATCACAAAAAGGTTTTAAAAATTATAATAAAAACGGTAATGAAAAAAGAAACAGCAAACGTGCTTCAGTGCAATCAATGCGATCAATCTGCAGTGGGGTGACAACTACATTTAAGTTCAACTTGATTTATCGTCACTCTCGAGATAAATACACTTTGAACGATTATCGGTTTGGTTGCCACGACATTGGACCTGTTGTAGTAATCGCTCGAATAAGAGATTCACGTGTCTTGATTGGTGGATATTCAGTTTCTCATCTTCGAATATTTTCACAAAACCAATCCGATAGTGCACAGACAACGACTAAAGGCGTAAGTTTTACTTTTACTTTTGAGGATTTCGACAAATTGGAAACCGCGGGAAACCATTTCCCACTAACGAACAAAATAGACTTAAACGTGGTTTTGGATCGAGCTCATTCTTTTGATGGACCTTGCTTTGGAATTGATGATTTAGTTTTGGACTTTAGTAGTTCACGTGGTACTTTTAAGCATGAGCTTGAAAGTTCACACAAAAGATTCACATTTGATGAATGCGAAATTTATCAAGTTATTGAACTAAATCAGGACCTGTAATATTATTTGATTTATTAATCTATGTGTAAAAAAAATCTATATCGTTTAATTATAAATTAGCTATTTAATCATTTTCCATTTGATTATTTAAAGAAACAAGAAGTCAAAAAAAAATTTATTCCTTTAATGCAGGTTTGAAAAGACAATTCAGAGAAATTTCTGTAAATTCGTAATCGTTATTTTGTGCTCTTCGATACAATTTTATTGCCATGTGTATATCACGAGGAACCCCAATCCCAGACTGGTAGTATCCACCGAGCGTATGTTGACTCATATTATTATGAGCCTCGCTCGCTTTTCGACACCAATAGATGGCTTTTGTGATATTTCTTTTTACTATTACCCCGTACGTATAAAGTAATGCCAATTGTATTTGTGATGCTGGGTGACCCGCTCTGGCTGCTTTCTCTCCCCAATACAAAGCCATTGTCTCATTTACTTCAACACCACAATTCCCTTGTGCATAACAAACGCCAAGATTATATTGTGCTGGTAGATGCCCCGCTTGAGCAGCACGATCAAACCACGAGAATGCTGTTTCTTCAGATGCCGTAGTTCCAATCTGCTTCACTATACAATACCCGACCTTATTTTGTGCAATTAAGTATCCTGCTTCAGCACTTTTTCGATAAAGATAAAACGCACGTTCGAGATCGAACGGTGTCCCGATTCCGTAATTATAAAAGAATCCTAGGATACAAGTGCATGGTGGATCATTTTGGCGGTGGTGTTTGGACAATATTTGGAATATATTATGTGGTAATTCGTTTTTTAGCGATATCCATTTGAGTATTTGTTTCACGGCGCGTTCGTCTGGTTCACCCCATTCTTTGAGTTCGTCAAATAGCTCTAAAAGCTCTTTTAATAGGTTATTTTCTTTTGAAGTGATGATGTTATCATCGTCGTCGTTATTGTTATCCATGTTGAAATTTTTTGATTACCGTTACTATTACTGTGTAAATGTGATCATTTTTATAATGAACATTACACGTGAAACAAGCACAACACTGGATGCATAACAACAATGAATATATCAAAATGAATGTTGCATTACATTAAGCAATTTTTGGGGCATTCCAATAAGAGAATGTTGTCGATAAGAAAGTCAGTTTTTTATGCATACATATTTGATATATTAACGATATAGTAAAATTTTATTTGTGGATTTTGCGACTTTTAGTCAAGTCCTCTAAATCGCCTACATCAATAACATAATCCTTCAGCAATAGTTCGAGAGCAGCACATCGAATCTCAAGGGCGTCTACTCGATCATAATCTGATTTTTCATTGTAATTCTTTGAGGGCGCGCTGTCTACGAGGGGAACGTGACCTGAGAATTTTGAACGAAGTTGTACTTTGAGCGCATGTCTAACGCCATATAATTCTTGCGCCCATCCCCAAGGTGCGATTTGGGGTGCACCTGGATAATTTGAATGAAAGCTAATTTTTATCATGTTAATTCAATGAAAGGAGGCAAATAAAAGTTTGTTACCGAAACAAAAGACAAAAATTCCCATCCATAAACCGAAGGCACCACCAAGAGAACTTAAAATAGACAAAACCTATAGAGCGTTTGAAAAAGAATGAGAAAAAAATCTGATTGACATATATTATTTTTTATTTTATTTCATACCGTCTTATCTCTGCAAAGCAACGACAATTTTTTTATGAGAAGGGGGTGGATACATTAAATAAAATAGACATATGCTTGGATATTAATATTATTTTATTCCTCACCTTATTTGCTCGTTTATCGTTACAAGACGTGAATCATAATACAACTCAAATGTGGATAATGGTTTAAAATTTGAAATTATAAATGGACTAACAATCTCTATCGGATAATTATTTATAATAAGTCAAATTAACAAGAGAAATTTGCAAACGAATTAATAAATAAAACATACCTGCTCTTGAGCTTATCAAATAATAAGAGTTTGGTTTGGCCCCTATGCCCAAATGATTTCTGTATTTATGTCCATCAAGGTCATTATTTTGCATTCTATTAAATCTGACGATGGTTCTCTGGAATGATGTCATAATTAAAAAATTAAAATAAATTAAATAAAGAGAGATCATAAGAAAATCTATAATTGATAGATTACCTCCATGGGAGAGAGTACATATGAATTTGCGTTGTCTATTTGCTCATTTCTAGCGTTGGCAGAGATTTGTTTAGCCATAGAAAAATCTATCTTTTCTTTCACTAAAAAAATTATTTCAAGTCAGTACACCGAAATATTCCCGAATAGGAAATAAATATACGTGTACGTACTGGCGTCATACAAATATGCTTTAATCCCATTAAAATTCGCGGGCAGGTTATCAATTGATTCGTCAAATGTTTGATTTGAAAAGAATTGTACTGAAAGGCCATAAACACCTTGTTGACTGAAATTCAACAATGATTCATTTTTACTAGAAACACCTCCCCAGACCAATCCTACGTAGCTCATCAATCTATTTGAAATTTTTTTGGACGAATATTCTATAAAGTTGCTTCTCAATTTTTGTTTTTCTGCGTTTATTATGTTCCCTCCTAAAGTCAGCAATTGAATGATTAAGCAAACATTTTGTAATAAAAGAAAATGCATGTTTAACATATATAACATCGTGCTAACCAATATCTAAAAGATCACAAGTCAGAGTGAAATTGAAAGGCGCCTCGAAATAGATATCTATATTGGCAAAAATTCAAATAAACAACGCATACATGCATATTACCATGCAGATGTACATGTAATCAATATCATCATCGAAAATTACGTACAAGGTGCTGGTAATGTCGTGACTGGTTCGACCGTTATTTGAAGATATGGTTTATCATACATCATTTGAAATATCAAAGAAATAAGGTAGAATAACGAGCAAAGATACAAAAGATAGATAAAGAATAGCTTTATTCCACGAAAAAACCCTGGCTCAGTTTCTCGTGAAGGTACAATATCAATGAAAAATTTTCGAAATAATCTAATTATAGGCTTCATTTGAAATTTTTGTTAAAAAAAGTATGAAAGAAAAGGTTTTCGAAAAAATCAGATATTAATCATTTTTTTGTTTTAACCGGTTATCGCTATCGTTATGGATGGCAGTGCACCTAAATAACAAACTACGCCCGATGCTGAAAACCTGTATTTTGAATTTAAACTTGATTTCTAGTTAAAGTGATAATCTAAATCTCTTGGCTTGCTGGTTTGAAATGTCACGTTAAAGAAACTATCGCTACCATAACGATAAATTTTCTGAAAACATTAATTTGTAATTTAGATTCTCAAAAATTTTAATGTTTGCAATTACATGTATATACCAAATATTAATCTTATTTTTGTTGAATTTATACAATAATATAAAATACGTGGTTGTTATTCTTTATTTTTACTATTTTACTTTAAATAAATGTTAATGTGTACTATGCTTTCTGAAATCGCAAAATTTTAAAAAGGTGAACACACCTTAAAAAGGTTAAAAATGCATCCGCACGCAAAATGTAATTTTTCACAGAATTAATGATTATCTGTATCAACACAAAATTTCTTTAAAAATTTATCATAAGGCAAAATAAAAAAATTTGCAATGAAGGCTGATTTCTTATTGACTTCACACTCGAATAAATTGGCAAAGTTTTATGAAAATGCCAAATATTGCGACATTTCGATCATTGTTGGAGATAGTGAGCGAACTTTTACGGCGCATTCATCAATACTAGTGGCGCATTCGGAATATTTTGCTATTGCTCTTTCTGATGCGTGGGTAAAACGAGAACCTAACAAACTGATCGTCTTTAAGAAACCAAATATTGAACCGCGTATTTTTGAAACCTTATTAAGGTAATCTTTAATGATAAAGATGGTGGTGTTTAAATTTATTAAATTGAAATTAATTTCTATGGTCATACATTATATAAAGATATATGTACAGTGGTAAGATTGATTTGTCTGATCATGGAGTGCCAACACTTTTAGATTTGTTAATCGCTGCCGATGAATTGATTCTTGAAGATTTGATTGAATATATTCAAGAATATCTTTTGGAGCAACATTCTGAATCCATGGTTGAAAATTTTGCTTTGATAAATCAAACCGCTTTTCGACATAATTCCTTTGTCAAGCTCCAAGAATTCTGTATAGAGGTTACTTGTAAAAATCCGGCTGCGGTTTTTCAATCCAACGATTTTGCAAATCTTCAAGAGGCAGCAATCACCACTTTACTTAAACGAGATGATTTAAATCTTAAAGAAATTGAAATTTGGGAAAAGATTATTGAGTGGGGAATCGCTCAAGTGTCAGCTTCTGATAACGTCGTCGTCGATTTATCGATTCCAGTGGATCGATGGTCACAAAACGAATTCAATCAACTCAGCTCTACACTCAAAAATTGTATGCCATTAATTCGTTTCTTTCATATAAACTCTGTTGATTTCTATAACAAAGTATTGCCATACTCGGAAATATTGCCAAAGAAACTTTACAAAGATTTATTGCACCATTATTTGGTACCTGGAAGTGAAAACCAACAAGTATCACTTCATCCCATTCGTAAATCAATATCAACAATTCTTTCTCGAAATCAAATCGATAAAGTTATTCAATGGATTAAAGGAGAGGATAAGAAAAAAAATTATCCATTTAAATTTAATCTATTATTACGCGGCAGTCGAGATGGATTTACTGCTAGTGATTTTCACCGTTTATGTGATAATAAAGGACCAACCATTGTTGCTATACGTGTCAAAGGTTCTAATAAAATTATCGGTGGATACAATCCTATTGAATGGAAATCTCTTAATAAAAGTTATCAGGATGAAGTAAAGGGCAGCTTCTTATATCAATTTAATTCTGATGATATTATGGGATCCAATGGAGTTTTAAGTAAATATAAATCTGGTTATAGTTTGTGGGACTATAATAATAGAGGTCCTTGTTTCGGAGGTAGTTCTGGTTATGACTTGGGTTTGTTTTTTTCATCAAATAATTGTAAGAAACAATCTTATGAGGTTGGCCTTTTAGGAGAACAAGGTCAAGAAATATCTTTTGAAGTTGATGATTATGAGGTTTTTCAAATTGTAGAAAAATGAAATAGGATTTATAGTATTCATATCTTATGTCTACCTTTATCTTTTGCGTTTAATTTTAAGCAAATTCAAACATTTCATATATGTCAGAATGTAAATGTATAAGTTCTATTATCATTATTATTATATTGAGAAAATTCGCAAGCAGTGGTAGTGCACGACGACGACGTTATTGGATTAGATTTCGTGATGCCGTATTTTAGAGCATAAATTTGAGTGAATACACGTATTTTAAAATAGATGTTTCATTAGTTAAACAAATAGGCTGCTAGTTATTTTATTATTCTGCAACTTATATAATTTTAATTTCAAAATATAATAAATTTTTCATTCAAAACTTTTAAAATTTATTATCAGAACGATAACAATAAAAATATCGAGCTTCAATTAAATTGCTTTTGATTCAGAAATCAAACGGCAGAAACGAAATTTTTATACATTAACATCAAAATCATCAATATTTCCGCTGTCCACATTCATGTACGAAATCTCGAGCACGAAGTGTTTTTTTCGCCGTATTATTGGATGTGATTTCAAGACTATGAAATGAAACACAGAAAAAATTCGAAAGCGAGTTTATTTAGTGAACAAGTGGATTGGGTCGCCATATTTCAAGCACCAGTGCTCGTTAAAGAACAGAAGTTGGGGACAATCTAAAATATCGATTACCATATAGAAAGAGCTCGAGGAATTTTGATACCATTTATTGCATGAATCTATTTGCGGAAGACAAAAAAAGAAATATTAAATAACAATGATATCAAAAATAAAATACAATTTGCCCAGGATTATTGGAAAGCTCGTGTTGAAAAATGAGAATGCTAGAAATGCATTTAACAATATATCGAAAAATCGCGACACGAATTTTGTTAGTTTCGTACTGGTACGCAAAGTCAAGACAAACAGTCGAAGTTATTAATTTAACACTTGTTCATCTGGATCTGAAACCATTTTCCAACATAAATTTGAACCGTAAATCTTAATCACTAACAAAATGTGAAATATATTAAAGACGCTTTTGGTCTGTACATCGACGTTTTCGTATATTCTTCGGAGTTAGCGCTCGAACTGTTGGAATTGAAGATGAAACAAAGGTTGTCTAGACGCCTTATATGAAATCTATTGTGGATGATTTAAAGTTTAGTTCGAATCTCTGCTTTTGTGGCCGGTGACTCGCAAAAGAAAAGAAATAAATGACGAAATTTGAATAATCTATTGAAGAATTATCGTTGATCCAAATAAAGCAGATTGCATTCGTAATGTAATTCTTATTTTCATACATCACTTGATTCACTAACGATTTTTTTAATTTTTTAGCTTTCCGCCTATTATGCCCAAATTGGACGAGCCAAAAGATGAGTATAAAAGCTTTTTTTTTTAATTAACCTAATTACATATTTTCTTACAAAATGACCGAATTTTAGCAATTCATTTATTCCAAACTGCCTCGAATTCCAATTGAAAAACGCGTCCGAATATACACTCTTCGACAGGAAGGATACTCCTTCCCGGAAATCGCATTATCCGAACAAGTGGGTGTCGCCTCGGTCTATCGTATCTACAAAAATAAAGAGGAGACCGGAAATTTCGAAGACAAGTCAAAACCCGGTCGTTCATGCTAGGGTTCCGATCGGTAATTACCGACGGTAATTTCGGTAATGAGATAAATACGATATTAGTATAAAATATCGTTCGTGAACTCTGCACATAAAAATAAGTGCAATGTCAAGTTTTAGCATACAAAATGCCAATAAAGAAAAATATTCCTCAAGTTCTATTCTACAGGTTTACAAAACATAAAGCGTATTATTCTACATATCAATCTCAATGCCTTGTGAACCGACATGTCAAATATTATAAAAGTTTGTAGACTTGCAGAATGGAATATTTTTTATTATTGGCATTTTATATGCTAAAACTTGATTGATATTTTAATAAATTCGGATTATTAAATATAATATATAAAATATTTTATACAAAAAAATCTATAGATTTATTATTTATATAATTAATTATTGCAATATTATTTAATTGAAATACAAAATTTATAACATTAACAAAAATTATAAAAATTAATTTTTTATAAAATTCTAATTTAAAATATTTGAATTATAGATTTCAAACACATAATCACACGTATAGTTTCAGGTGCAAGTCTTGCTCTATCTGTTGTAATAACATCTGCAGTATTTGAAAATGTATTTTCAGCAGAAGCACTAGTTGCTACAAAAGAAAATATATGTATATTTTAAAAATATATAATTTTAAATTAAAAATTATGAAAAATAAAAAATATAAAAAATTCCTCTGCATATTACTATAAGAAATAATTAATTAATTTCTATTTTAAATAATTTTAATATTAAAAATTTTACCTTTCACCAATTCAAAATATTATTAAGAGCTGGTGCATGCTCAATTTTAAGAATAATTCAAGTTTATAAAAAAATAAGCAACAAGATCGTCATTATATGCAATACTATTATTTTCAAAATTCTTAGAAATATATATTTATAAAAATTTCCAATACCTATTAAAATAAAAACAAATAAATAAATAAAATTTAAAAAAATAAGAAAAATATATGAATTTATTATTTTGCTTTTTGTGCTTTTTGCATTATTAATTCATTTCTTTTTAATCGATAATCTTTTATATATTGTAACTTAAGTCTTGGATCTAAAATTGTATTAATATTATATATTTTTTATAAAAATAAAGTTTAATTAAAATATTATAATAAAATTAAATAAATAATCT